AGGGGCTGCTGCTCCTCACCCTAAGTCCATTCTTGGGCTTCTCAGGGGCTCTGTGGCTCAGCTTTGCTCCGATCTGTTATGCTCCATTCCCACACTGTCTGCTGCCCCCCCCCCCACCGTGTGACCCCCATTATTGTCCCCTGTCTCCATCTGCTCCAGTTAGGGGACAACTTGTCTTGAGTTGTTGGTAGCCCCACAGTTCTCTCGGTGCCCCAGCAGCTCCATGCAGAGACCTCATCCTCTGGGCTTGGTGTGCCTGTATGGAGTCTAGGCCGACTGCCCCTTTCAATTTTTCCCTTCTTGGTTTGCCTCCGTCTGGCTATGATAGATCGTTGGTTCCTTTCACCCACCAGAAGGTCTAGTTTCATTCTCTGGGGCACACACTTCCAGGGTAGGGGTTGAAACTATAACTCTTTACAGGAAAAAGACTCATCTTTCTCCTATGGAGGGTCTCCTGGTTTCGAACTGCTGACTGTCCAATTAGCAGCTCTGTGTGTAACCCACTGCACCACCAAGGCTCCTTAATTGGCTAATACAAGTATGCATTCACTCACTGCCATTGAGTCCATGCTGACTCACAGCCCACGTGGACAGGGTAGAACTACCGCTGAGTCAACCTGTGTGACCTTGAGGATTGCTGAAGGTCCCGGAGCCCCATTCTTCTCCTCCCTCAGGCTCATTGAGTGGCCCTGCAACCGAGGCCGGGCTTGCTGTTTCATTATTACTTCCGAGGGGTCCTGTCTGTTGTTCACAGTTTGAACCCAACCCAATCCACTGCTCTTGAGTCTACTCGGCTCACAGACCCCTAGGGTAGAGTGGAACTGCCTGGAGGGTTGCTGCAGCTAGCAATCTTTCTGGAAGCAGACAGCCTCCCCTTTCTCCCACAAAGCAGCTGGTGGGTTCAAACCTCTGGCCTTTTGGCTAGCAGTCTTAAGCGTTTGACCTCTTTGCCACCAGGGCACCTTATACCCTGTTGAAGGTCACAGAGAACAGAATTGGTTTCCGTCCCTTAACTTCGGATGAAGAGGTCAGCTGCTGGGGCTCTAAGAAGGAAGAGGGGAGGGTATTATCTGCTGTGACCCCTCCCACTGGACCCTGAGGGGTCCCCAGGAATACGGTGCTGAGCATTTATGCAGGCCCCCTTAACCCTGGCTTTTCAGCCTTACTCCTAGGGACATTTAAAGCAGGCAAGTCTTTGTTGTCCACTGTCTCAGGCCATGTAGCAGCATCCCTGGCTCCCCCAACTTGTACCAACTGCTGTCAAAGGCCAGAGGGAGCCTCACTCCAGAGGGTCAGATGGTGGATGTTTCTGGATCACTAGGTCTTTCTTCTGAGGTGTCCCTGGTGGGCTATAAGTGACAATCTTTTGGTTTGTGGCTGGGCACTTGACCCATATCACCCTCCCCATTTTTCATTCAAAGCTCACAGAGCTAGGAAGTGAGTGGACACGGATACCAACCCTGCTATACATCCCTGATGGCCCGGCTTTCTCTCCCAGAATTCCTGCTCCCCAGTCCACTGCCCAGCCAGACAAGGGTACAACTCAGCCAGTGGGTGATGGGCAAGGGCCCATGGACCTGGGAGACTGACACACCAGGACACACCAACTTCTCCAACACAACTTGCATCAAAGCTTTATTTTTCATGTCCTCATCTGAAGGCAACATCTTTGAACATGCAAAGGCCATCTCTTTCCATGCCACCTACCAGTAGGCTGCCTGTGTGTCTGTCTCTATGAAACCACTTTACAAGTAGAAAATATAAAAGGCCTTGTCAACATTTGATATTCTGTGAGGTCCGGGAAACCCTGTCTCTTTTGGAACATTAAAAATACAGGTTTCAATGGGGATTGCCCGCGCACAATGAAAGGTGCTTTCTGGACTGGGATAAAGTGCACCGCACCTCAACCTGACCCCACCTGACCCAGCCTTCTGCTCAGAACTCCTGTGTCTGCTGAATTCATAAGGCAACTGCAGGAACTCCACAGAAGAAAAGTCAGGGAAAATAGATACCCTCTATCGCTCCTTTTCCAACTGACTCACTCCCTTCCCCCATCTTACAAAGCAGTCCAAGGGCTTGCAAGGTTCTAGGAAATGGGACACCCAAAGTCATGCTGGTCACCCCCAGATTTACTTCTATGGACCCAATGGGCAGGGACTGTAAGGCAATGTGGAGCCAGACCATGGAGAGGCTTCATCCTGAGCAGACACAACACCAGCGGGGATTGTCAATCAAGTATCAGCCACTGGTGTGGGGTGTGACTGTTTTAGAAAGGGGTGCTGGGAGGCTAAAGGGGAGAGGATAAGGGAGCCGGTTGACAAAGTGAATTTGCTAGAAATCTCAGGCTGGCATTATCCAGCAGAATGAGTGAGGTCACTGCCCAGTCTCACCCACGTCCCTGGTGTGGACAGAGATAAAAGTGGGGATACCTTCGGGGTGGGCAGATGAGGCACAGGCAGCCCACTCAAACCAACCTGCCTTCTAGGTGATTTTATGCTGGCCAGAGTTCCAGGGGGGTGATCCCCAGCCGCTCCATAGTACAGAGGCTGGGCCCCCTCTCCATCAGTGCGGGGTGGGGCGGGGTGGGGCAGGGCCATGGTCAAACTCAGGGCAAGTTCCATTGCAGATGAGAAGTGGGCCTTACCTGCTTGGCCACCCCCACCCCTCCCACAAGCTCAACCGTGTCCCCTGATGTTGTGGGACTATTTTTCCTTGCCTGGTGGGGGAAGAGGGAGCTGGGGGACACAGTGACCTGCCATGACTGAAACATCTCAATTGGAGCTCTCCAATAGGTAGCGTCTTCTTCCTGCCTCGCCAGCCCTGGCCAAGCTCATTTGGAGTCACTGATTTATGCAGTTTTGGAGTAAGGGCCAGGCATGTGGGAGGGGTCAGAGGGACAGATCTGGGAACCTTCGCCTCCTGTCTTCCTCCTCTGCTGGCCTGGCCCTCCCTGAATCGAATCGAGCCTGGGCTCAGGACCCCAGTGGGCTTTCAGCTTTGTGATGATGCTGGCCTGGGACTTCCTGGGGTAGATGGAAATGTATGAATTGGCTAAGGGGCTGTCAGCACTGGGCTGGGGCAGCTGAGACCTCTTCTAGGGAAAGCCCACCAGGGGTCACTCTAAGCCTTCAGTGGGTTGTGACATCAAGGACTGGGGCTTGTGTCCCTGGACTCTGAGGCCAGCCTCCTGGCATGCACAATGAAAAACCTACCTTTCTGAAAACAGATGGCTTGACTTGCCCACCCTCCCCCTGACTGTTCCTTCCTTGAATCCAAAACCACCTGAGGCAGATCAGCATCCAACCACTCCCATACCATGAGACTTTGCTCTCAGTAGGATTTCACTGCCTGAAACAGAGCCAAATCTCACATACACACACATACACACACACACACACACACCACCACCACCACCACCACCACCACCACCATGTTTTTTGTTTGGAGGTATTGCCCTGGAATGTCACAGGCCAACCACCTCTGGTTTGTTAGGCAAAAGGACCTTGACGAAGGAGGCCTACTGGGAGGGAGTATGGGGAGAGATCACAATGTATCAAAAGACCAGCAGTCAAAATGCTGATGTGCACAGAGAGCAGGAGAGGGAGAAGAGGCGAGAGGGGAATCTGCATTCCGGGAGCACACCCCAGAAAGGAGACCCAAAGGTCTAGGGAGGAGAAGGGAGTGGGGGGGTTGGGTAGGGTGCAGGTGACTTGCTTGCATGGGAATGATTAAGGCGTATCCACTTAGTTTCCAAGAAGATGGCCTTCCAGAGAGGGTTCCAGGAACACACAAGGACATTCGTGCACCACCCTTTGCTTAGTTCCCCCGCAAACAGACAGCAAGGCTTCAAAAAGCCACCAGGTGTCAGTCTGCCAAAGGCTGGGCCTCAGACAAGCTCCAAAACTGCCTCCATGGCCAAATTCAGCCTGCCGGGCTGCGGGGGAGTGGGGGGCTCTATCCTTGGTGCTGACGCACAAGCCCTTCTCAGGGACCAGGGCTTTGCCTTTTCAACCCGGCCTCCCCTTCAAAGAAGAGACAGGAAGGAGAGAGGAGACATATGGAAACATGGGGAGCTGGTCAGGGAGAGGAAGACAGAGCCTTTGACACTATTTGGAAATCATAGAATCGACCAAGAAAGACCTTTTTCCACTGGGAAGGCAGGGCAGGTGCCTCTCCCACCCAATAACCATAATCTGTGGCTAGAACCCAGGCCCCCGAGCCATCCTAGCTGCCCTGTAAACCTCACAGATCCCTACCCCCTAGAACAGTGGTTCTCAGCCTTCCTAATGTCATGACCCTTTAATACAGTCCCTCATGTTGTGGTGTCTCCCAACCATAACATTATTTTCATTGCTACTTCATAAATGTAATTTTGCTACTGTTACGAATCAGGTGACCGCTGTGAAAGGGTCGTTTGACCCCCAAAGGGGTAGCAATCCACAGGCTGACAACTGCTGCTCTAGGAGGTCTCCCAGGCCAGGTTGGCACTGAGTTTATGGCAACTTCAGGTGTGGCAGGGACCAGGCAGACCCAACTGGACACCTGTGGGAGCCTGAGATCTGAGAGGGGAGGAGGCAAGTGTTGAGGGGGAGTCCCCACGGTCCAAAATGTCCTAGGGATGTGCTTAGAGCTGGCAAGGAAAGACAAGTCAAGGTGAGTCCCATCCTTCACCACCCAGCACCCAGCCCTCCAGCTTGGAGCCTCTGGTTAGGGCACACCCCTCTGGAGAGGGGCTTTCAGAACAATCTTTCCTGCCTGTACTGGAACCAAAAACACTCAGTTGGGTGGAGCTGGGACGTGGGGAAGTTTCTCAGTTGGTTGGGTGAAACAGGGGAGAACAGAAAAGCATTTGGTTGGGTGGAGTTGGTGGGTGGGGGATA